CCAGGGCCCAGGAGGGTCGGAGAGGCAGATGGAGAGCAGGTTCCCTCCTCTCTGCAGCAGCAGAGCATCAAATATCTTCAAAGAGAATTGCTCAGGCAGCCTCAGCCCTCGGATACTGGGGGTCCTGCAGGGCCCTGGGTGCTGCAGCTCTGTTGGGGTGAGCAGAGCAGAGTTACTGGGTGGACTGCAAGGGCCCAGCCGACCTTGCCCTGGGTGATGTCCCTGCCAGTGCTGGGCAGCTCCAGCCCTCCCTGGGGAGAGCTCACATCATGCTTTCCTGCTTCTTTTCCTGTTTAATTCTTGTGAAAGATGAACAAACACCCGGGTCTGTGGCTGCCCAGGGCTGGCTCAGAGCATCAGTGTCATCATGCAAGTGTATCCTGGCTGCTCTTGGGGGAGGGATGCAGACAAGGCTGCTGCAGAGGGGTTGATGGAATGGGCAGTGGGGAGACAGGCCCTTCCCTTGCTCAGGAAATAGAGTTTTTAGGGAAAACTGTGTGGAGGAGGTTGCCCTGCAGAGGCCCCCAGCTGCAACTGGCCCCTCTGTGGGGCCAGAGCTGCCTCGGGTATTTCACCCCTGAAGTGCCCCATGTCCAGCAAGAAAAACCTTCTGGCTGCTTTGCTTGGCTCTGCTCTGGGTGTCGATGGGTGCTGGGGTCCTGCAGGGCCACCCACCCCCAGCTGTGCCGGCCCCATACGGGGGTGCTGAGCCCAGGGTGGGCACATGGGGTTGGGATGATGATGGTGGCCAGATGGCATCGCCACAGCCTGGTCTGGGATCCTTGTCCTGGTGTGTCCCTGGGCAGCCCTCACCCCTGGGCAAGGAGTTTTGGGAGGGCAGGTGCAGCCTGGCAGGGCTGCTGGCACAAGCTGTGATGGGAGAAGGTTTCTGGGAGCTGTTACGAAATATCCATCACCAACTCATGAGGGATTTCAGGGAAATCCCCTGGAGCAGGAGCAATCCATGAACAGGCTGTATTTGCAGCAGCCCATGTCCTGCACACCACAGCAGGTGGGCTCTGGGGTTCCACTTGGGATGTGGCTGGAGCTGTTTGGCCTCTCCAGGTTGGAGGGAATGGCAGAAGCTTTAAGGAGGGATGCACTGCCGATCACTCCCCAGGGCTGGAAAAACCCCTGCCATGACCTGGCAGTGCCAGTGCCAGCCATGAGGAGAGGGGCAAGTCCTGCCCTCCCTGCTCTGGCACACACATTTTGGACCTGAGGGTCCTCCAGCCACTTTGCTGCTATTTCAGCACCTCCAAGAAGAGGTACCATGTTATAATAATATAAATAACTATGCAAAGGCAAAAATACGTGAGAAAAAGTTTGGTTTGCCATCCCTTCAAGGTTCTTTTTTTGGGAGAACTTGCATTTTCAGTTCCCATCTTTTTCACCAGGCTGTTCCTCTCTCCACCTCCCTTTCCCTGGTGGAATCCTGCTCATAATTAAACTTCAGTGTTTGGATACAGCCCATTGCAGTTCATAGGCTGATTCTTACTGGGGCCAAGAAATAAGCAGAATATTTTTTCACTTCTGCAGGGTTTCTCCCAGCAGCTCCTCAAGGGTCGTCTCCGGTGTTGATTAACTTTCTCAGGACTCCTGGGAGATGGTGACTGTTTAGGAAGATTCTCAGTAGTGGGAGAGCAATCCAAGAGGCAGGATGATGCCTGGGGGACCGGCAGAGCATCCTCTTGGATGGGGCTCAGGGTGAGGGTCTGGGGGGACCCGGGGGTGACCCAGCCCGGCTGCCCCATGGGTCTGGGAGCTGGAGAGGCGGCTGCTCCCTTCTGGGGGGGCCACACGGGGCTCCCCTGCCCTGTTGGTGGCTCCCAGTATGGCCCAGTGCCGAGCCCCTGGCAGTGGGAGCAGTGGGAGCAGTGGGAGCAGTGGGAGCAGTGGGAGCAGTGGGAGCAGTGGGGACGGGCACAGTGGGGGCAGTGTCCCCCCTTCCCTGGCAGCAGGAGCAGTGTCCCAGCCCCGGCCGAGCGCGGGCCGCTGGCACCATCTAGTGGGGTTTGTGCGGGGACCGGCGGTGCCGCCGCCACCCGTGTCCCTGCCCTGTCCCCGGGCACCAGCACGGCCCCGGAACCCCCCACTCCAGGGGTCTCCCCCAGCCCTGTGCCCCCGGTCCGTTGGTTCTACAGCCCAGGTTTGGTGGGGTGGGTTTGTGCCTGACCCCCCCGCCGGTGCCCCCACAGTGACAGAGGTGACAGAGGGGGTGTTCGGGGGCACAAGGGGCTGCCTGCAGGGCTGGGTCCCCCCTACACGGGCTCAGCATCGCCCTGCTCACCCCTGGGCCGGCAGCCGTGGGGGTCTGGTGACCCCCCATGGGTGGTCCAAGGGGTCACAGGGGGACACTGGGCTGGGGGGCGATGGCAGGGCGAGCCCTGGACTCCACACAGGGCAGGGTTTGGGGTCTGGCAACCGAGAGACCCCCAGCCAGGCTGAGGATCTTCCCAGCACAGCCCAGACTGGGGGGTCACACAGAGCCCCCCTGCACTTGCTCTTCAACAACCAGCTGGACGTTTCCTGCACAACATCCCTTTAGGACATGGGAGTGTGTAAGCCATGGGGTGGGAGGCAAAGCTGGTGGCTGGGGCTGCCCTGCAACTTTTTTGGTGCTGGGTAGTGACAGGATGAAGTGTATCATTAACTCCTTTTTTCTTTTCTTCTTTCCCTTTTTCTTCTCCTCCTCTTTCCCCTTCTCCTCTTCCTTCATTCTCCCTTTTGTTTTCAAACAATTCAAAGCACAGCCCTCAGGTGTGGGGCAGTGCTGGGGTACAGCAGCATCCCACAATACTTGTGGGGTGTTGGGAGCCAGGACTCCCCTCAGGCTGCTCATGCCAGGGGGAGCTGCCCCATTCAGGTCACCCCACAGCACAAGGGAAGACTCCATCAGCACCAGAAAAGCCTGAGATCTATCTATTTGTGGGTTTATTAGGCCAGGAGAAAGGTTGGGGGAGGCCCATCTCTACCCCTCTTAGCCCCTGTTTCTGTAGCCCACTCTGGGCATGGGGGAAAGGGCTGAACCAGACCTGGCTCAAGCCCCAAAACCAGAGTCCCTCCCCTGCTCCCCTTGGCAGCTGCCACGTGCCCCCCAGGGCACCAAGGCTGATGGCATGAAGTGGGATGGATTCAGCAACGTCCACAGGGGAGGGAATAAAAGAGAAACAACAAGCTGCAAAATTCTGGCATTATTCCCCAGCGTCCAAACTCCTCACGCCAGCATGAGTTTGCAAAATAAAATAGGTGCTTTCCTTCCCTTCAAAAAAAAAAGGTGAATTTTTTTAGAGCCTGAATTGTGCTGGGTGATGGTGACTGGCAAGACAAACAAAACCTAGGGCTTCAGGCTGAGGATTTGTCTCTCCTGGTGGATTTAAGCAGCCCCTGCCCTGGGAAGCTTTCCAGGGTGCTGTGCTGGCCTTGCACCTTCCCCTGATGTAGGATGGTGCCAGCACACGCTGGGTACTCGTGGCACAGGTAAGGGCTCCACGTGCATCCTGCACTGCCTGCAATGACAGGAGCCTTTTTTCCAGCATCACTTTAACTTGCCTGCCTACACCACGGACAGAATTAGCCAACCCTGCAAGGCAATGGAAGAGAAAACAGTCCTGGCTGCTCCTGCACGTGCTGCTGTTTGGGCAGTGCCACTGGACAGTGAGCCACCACCAGCTCCTGCTCTGCCAGGAGGGATGCATGGGGAGACTTGGAAATGGCAGTTCAGGACCCTTCACCTTGGATGGCTGAGAATTTATGGGTGCATTGGCAAGCTGGGTTTGAAAGTGGAAGGACAACAGGGTCTTACACCTGGAGAACAGGGAGCCCTTGGCTTTGCAGGGAGCAGGGAGGGCTGGCAGGGGAAGCAGGTGGAAAAAACCAGATGAAATTTCTGCCAGGAATTTTGCTTTGTCTTAAAAAAAAAAAACAACAACAACAACAACAAAAACCCCAAAACAAACAAACAAAACAAAAAAACCTCAACCAAACAAAAAACCAACTAGCAAACAAAAAACAAACACCAAAGCCCAAAATACATTTCGACCAGATTAACACTTCTCCCAGGGGAGCTGCACGGCAGAGCAGCCCTGGCCCACACCATTGTCACCTTCCCAGCTCAAGTAAGGTCAGAGGCTCAGTTTTATTTCATTCCCATTTCAGAGGAGCACTGGCCAGGCAAGGCAGCTCCCCCCATGTCCCAGGGCACAGCCCAGCTGAGCAGCAAAGCCACCTCCTTGTAGGACTCCTTGTCAAGGGCTGTTGCACTCAGTAAGGTCCAGCACAGCAGAAAGCTGGTCCAGTATAATTATGTGCTGGCATAAAAATACTGGCCACATGTTAAAACTTAAAGTAGGTCAGGCAGCCATCTGGTCTTGCTGACAGACCTCCACAGACCATAGTTAAAAAGATTCTTATTTTAGAAACTTCACAGCTTGGGTAAAATTTTGAAGACCGCCCATAAACATGTTTCAGCCGCTGCTCTAACTCCAGGGGTTAGAAAAACCACAGCCTGACATTTATTGGCTCCTGTTTTAAAAATAGCTAAAGCTTAGTCTACTTCTGCTAATTAAAAATCCTAATTTCCCAAATGTGATTGTCTCAGTCTCCTGCCCAAGGTGTCAGGTGTCCTAAGGCTCACTCACCCCTGGAAATGGAGAGGATCAAACCCCTGCATGGGCGGCTCTATTCTTGAGCATTATTCTTGAATGAGAGCAGCATTATTCTTGAATGAGAGAAAATGAGGCAGATTCATGGCTTGGGTAGCTGTGCCTGCACTGAGAACACCCAGTTCTCACCCACATTTCCTGTACCTTGTGCAGCTCAGGTTTCTACTCTCCAAAACAAACTGCTTTGCTTGAACTTCTCCCCAGTGGCAGAGCTGAAGAGTCTCCTGCATCCCCCACAACAGCACTGTCCCAGAGCAGATCTTGCAGACCTGAATTCAGCACATAAAATAACCTGGAAGCTTTGCAGTAGATAAATGAAATAAAGAGATTGACCCCTTTTTTTCCAAACAGTTCACATTTATTGATAACAATAAAAAAATCTTTTAAAGACTATCTGTATTTTATTACCAAGAATGAGGTATTATGTATACAAAACATTTACCGAATTTGATATGCAGTTCATGAGGAGAGATAGTGAAGTGCAGAAGGACACTGATAACAGGAAAAGTGCCAACAGAAGAGTTACTGGCTGAGAGAAGGAAGAAGAGCAGTAATATCACATAAAGAAAGACCAGTGTAGGGGAAATTAATTAGTCAGACTGCAGTGATCAAGTCATATTGCCACAGCACTTTGCTTAGAGGAAGATTAACTATTATTTTATCTTCCCAGCTGTTAGTGCTGTCATGTGCTTTGAGCTCTAAAAGATGTGTTAAGATCAACAGCAGGAAAAACCCAAAGTGCCACTTTTGAGCCAGCTCAAGTGAAAAACAAAACACAGATCTTCAGACTTGAAAAGGGACTGCAACTCAAAAAGGTCTACAAAGCCAGACACCTCTGGACAGATGTGGAGTGTTGAAGCAGATTCTTTACAGTTGTCAGCAAAATCGCCATCTGAGAGAGAGAGAGAGAGAGAGAGAGAGAGAGACAGAGAGAGAGAGAGAAAGGGGACCACCTTCAGCCCTTACAGCCTGGTAAGTGGCAGTGGAATGGTTGCTGTGCAGACACTGGGTGGGAGCTGCTTCACACCAAAGCAGTGGCCTGTCTCACACAGCTGCCCACTTTGGCAGCCTAAGTAACAGTCCAACCTCCATCTTCAATTTATAAGTCCTTAAAACCCTCCAGAATAAACCAGTTTGGTTCAGTTTAATGAGACTGGTCGCTCACCACCTCTAAATCTGTTACTAAAATACTTTCAGCTCTGCCACATCCCACAGCCAGAACTGGTCTGGCAGGACAGGTGCTGTCAGAGGTCAGTAACCTGCCTCTCAGGAGCTCTGCAGGCACAAAAAAAACCTCATTCTGAGTTCAGAACCAGCTTTCCTCAGGCAGGGGGTCCAGGACCTCGAGTGAGTTCTGCTTTCTAAGTGCAAAATCCTCTACCACCTACCCCCAGCAGTGCTGCTCCCCAGGACAGAGCCTTCCTAGCAGGGACTGCAGCACAGAAGCTCCTTGTGCCTGGATGGACAATTTAGCTCTAAGAGGGTGAGGAAAGACCAAGCAGGGTCTAACTGTGCAAATCCTGCTGCATTTCAGACCTAAATCTTCTCTGCTCCACTGCCAGGCGTGGTTTGTAGTTGTCTGACAGCCCTTTGCTCAGCACTTCAGCCTTTGGAGCCTTTCACTGTCTGTGGAGAGAGGGCTAAAGGTGCAAGAACACCTGAATGGACTTTAACAGGAGTTCAACCCGGGCCTGGGCAGACAGGGACAAAACCCACAGTGGCAGTGGCAACAGTGAAAACAATCCAGAAAATGCTTCGAGCATCTTCTCCTGTGTCCCCCAGAGGGAAGAGCCCTGTGCTCCCTGCCCACACTAAAGCTTGTGCTGCTCAGAAGTGAAGTGCTCTGTTTCTGACAGGGAAGGACAGGAGGCCCGAGGGAGTGAGAAGTGAACAGGAAGGATGTTAAGCCATACCTCCTTCAGACTGATTCAGGCAGCCAGCTAAAGCTCTGCATAAACTCCTGGTAAGAACAGAATCTCAGTAAAATCAACTCACTTGGAATGCACTAAGGAAGCAGAGTGAAGCTCCAGCACAGAGCTGGGAACAAATCCTCAGAGCAGCTCTGGATCAGCCCAGCGTGGCACAGTGAGGGAGAGCCTGCTCTCTGCCTCTCTCTCTGCAGTGCTTCAAGCACAAATCCAAGGAAAAGAATGAATTGCTTTAACCCATCAAGACCCAGAGCTCAGATTTCCCCAAAAAATGTGCTCATACAAAAGGTATATTTAGTGTTTACAGCCTGGCCACAGCTCTGTGGGCACGCTTTGAAAAAAATGGACTCACAAAGTCAAGTATCCAGCAACTGCTGTTCTTTGTCTCGGACATCAATGGTGGCAATGGGAGAACAGTTTGCAGCACTGGAAGATCACAGGGGATTTCTCAGGATGGCAAGGAATGTCCTGACAGGAGAATTGCAGTTGATCTCTAATGCACTACGGAGCATTTTTGGTAGGGTTTTTCTCTTTTTTTTTTTTTTTTGCTTTTAAACATCTACACAGTTTAAAAAAAAATTCTTAACTGATGCACTGGTTGTTTTTCCTTTTCAATAAGAGCCCTTGTGTTCAGAGTTAGGATTTGTGCAAGCACACTTGCAAAAATATTTATGGCTGAGTTAGGAAAAAGGGTTAAAGTTAAAGAGACAAGCTGTTGGATCTAACAAAGACCAAAACCACTAAGTGTAAAATTCAAACAGCTACTTTACTATCTATAAAAGGCTTTTGTGGGGTGGGGTTTTTTTTGCACAATTGCCAGTTGAATATGCTGTATTGCAGTCAGCTGCCACGGGCGAGGGTCCAGCCATCACATCCATTTGCTTTTCAGCTGTTGTGGCACTACCTGGAAATCATGGAGCTGGAATGGGACTGGCTAGAGGAGGTGGTGGCAGCACTGAGCTGGGAGAATCCACTGTGGCTTGATTCAAGGCTGGTCATAGATCCCCTGCAATCAAAAAGAAAGCAGTTTTAAGCCTCAGAACATGCAAAAGATTTTGATTTCTGCTCTGTATCTGTATTGTATTTGTTTGCACATTAAATAAAAAGCAAGTAAGAGTTTTGGTGCAAGATACTCAAAAGCTTTTCTGCCTCAACACATAAAATAATGAGGACACTGCAAGCCTTAAAAAAAACATGCTGTTCAAAGAGTCTGGGAAATATTTTCAGTCAAGTTTATCAACGGGCAGGCAACAGAACTGACTCAATTCCATTCTGAACTGTACCCATTTCTACCTGCCAAGCCCAACAACTCACACAGGGCTTTCAAAGCAGAGCGAAGTGGCCAGTGATGATTACCACAAGATAACTAATTAACCCTTTTTATACATTAGTTGCCCTCAGTGCCGATACTGGTTAATTCCTTTTTTTAAGGCCCTCACAATTTACTTATATTTAAGTGAACTTGACACTGGCTTGATCATCTAAGTATCAAAAAGGTTTGACGCTGGCTGACCCTGGGCAGACATACCTGAAATCTTCAGATCCTATCACTTCTGTATAGTACATCACTTTACATTTGTGAGAGGACACCTGTAGAGATGCCAATACATCATCCACACGAGGCAGGTTGGTTGTAGCACAGGCAGGCATGTTGTGGAACTTCCACTGCAGAATATAGAAACCAGGCCACCTGGTCACGTGGGAGCCCTGGAAAGAGACACAGCAAAAATTAAACATTAACTTTGTCAATACAGATTTGAAAAATTTGAAATTCCTTTTCCAAGCTTGGAAGAAGTGCCCACATGCCCGTTATTCTTCCCCAATGCCAATATTTCAGCTCCTCAGCCAACTGGTTGTGCTGGGTGACTTCCCACAGAACGTGCTCATCAAAGTCGGGACAGAACACCAACAAACAGCTCCTCTGGCTTTTTGAGAGTGTCCAGGGGTTACTGAAAGGACAAAGTTCTGGTTTAAAACAATATCCACTTTTTCCATTTGTTTTCATTAACAGCTGTCCTTCGAGACAGTGAAAAGGGCACTCAAGGTTCCTGCCTCACAGAGAGTGCAGTGCAAGAGGTCACCGCCCATATTTCCAGTTTAACACTTCCAACCAGGTGACTTAAGGAGCTCCTTTTTCACAGGCTGCCCGACTCCTGTTTCAAGTCAAAAGGAACAGCAGTGGCAGAGTGTGACTGTAAATACACTGCACAGAATATCAAACTTGTTAATTAAAAGACAGGTCGAAAATGGCTTAAAAAAATTTTCAGGAACTTTGGCCACAGCCTCACAGTGGCTGTTAGAGGGACAATCACACAGAAGTTCAGTCTTAATTTCCAGACTTCCCTAACTACTGAGGGAAGGCACTATGATATTCTTCAGATACAGACTGTTTGTCTCAGAAAATAATAGTCAGAATTACAGCACAAAGCGTGTTTTGCTGCTTTCTGGATGTGCACTTCATTCTAGGTGGCTTCTCTATGTTCCTTCCTGATCAACCTCAGTCACTGTTGGACTGATGCAACCTCCCCTCCCAGCAGATCCCCACATAAATCCAGTCCCTGCTCCCTGCAGCATCCAGCCTGGAACATGAGCTGAAATGTTGGCCAAAAAGTGAGCAGACAGCCTGGGACTGAATCACCACTCTGTCATCAGCCACTGTGAATGGGAAGAGGCAGTTTTGGAGCCGGGCTCCATCCGCTCCCACACGAGGATCTGGTGCCTCACCTGCACACTCTCCCCTTCCTTGCAGATCAGGGGAGACTCCACCATGCTGTAGTCACGCCCCAACTGCCAGACTTTGTCTATCAACTGGACGTTGTTCCCACCAGGAGATGTAATGCTGTGGGCTCCCAGAGAGTCCTTCTTGGGGGGCTGTGGGGCCCTCTTGGAATGGAAGATGTTAAAAACGATGTCGCCCTTGCACACGTCAAAATCCCACGTGATCACAGATGAGGCATCCACGATCTGAATGAGAACCTGGGACAGGAAAAGTCATATTAGACAACAGCTATTTGCTCAATAAAGGCAAACTCCTACCAGAAAAAAAAAAGACAAAGGACAGAGCTTTTTGTTGCGGGGTTTAGTTTCCACTGTTAAAAAGTCAAGGCTTTTTAATAGTTGAAAAGAGGCATTCAGATACAAATTCCCTCCTGCTGGGGTGTCTTTATTATAACACACGACTTAAAGAAGCTCTCAAGCAGGTTCTGAGAATATTGTTTGCTTTGCTTAGAAGAAAAGGGCTTTGAATAGAATGAAAACTGGTGATATTCTCAAAACGGCAACAAGATGACGCCAGGAATGGTCACAAACTTCAGCAACTGAAGCATCATTGTGCAGCACAACTATAGAAGAGCAAGGTGGAAGCACAGCAACTAAATAAGTGAGCTCTAAACCACCCTCAGTCCACCAGACAGAGTCCAGAGCAGCAGCTGAGATGAAAGCAAAGGTCAGGCTGCAGCCGTACCTCATGTGGAGCTCCTTTGAAGACACTTGCAGACTGGTAGATTGTTTCAGTCCAGAGCTTTATGTCTTCATTTTCCAACTCTTCTGCTGTCCGGTAGAGGGACTTGGGAACCAGCCCACCCTCTGGTACTTCACACTGAAAACAAACAGCCATAAAAATTATCTCCTGTGACCATTCCCTCCCTGTCACGCTCCCTGCCTCCCGTTTCAGAAACAAAACCTCACACTCAGCAATGGTCTGAAGAATGAGATGCAAACAGTGGGAAAGTAATTTTACAGCTTGTACATTATACATACATAAATTCTTTTACAATGACCTGGCTTAGGTGTTTGCAGAACAGGACACCAGAGGAACAGTTCTTGTACAAACACAACAGCCAGCACCACGGAAAAGGGCTGTGTAAATGCTGCAGTTATCACTCAGACCACCTTACACTGAAGGAAGAAGATGTGAGCCACTTCAGAACCCTGAGGAAAGTGGCAGTGGTGACTCAGCCTGGAAAAACAGAGCCTACAGAGAGTTGAAAGAACCCGGGTAGCTAAATTTAAGGATGGATACTGGGAGATACAGTAAGTTTCCCAGCAGGTGAAAGGACATTGTAGCCAGGAAGGTAACAGTTTTGAAGTTACAACTGTCTTACAGCCAAGTACTGGAAGTGATTACACAACTTCCCTAAGTAACCTTCTTTTTTAAGAAGCCTCTAGCAATGGAGTCAGACAACTATTTGATCAGGAGAAGGTTCCACAGAAGTGTCTGGGGCAGTGGAAGTGTTTGGTAACTGAATTACAACAGAGAACTGAAAGGTTCTCAGGAAAGTCACTTTTGTTCAACTACCCAGAAGCAAAGAAGAACAGAGAGATTCTGCCACTGCCTGTAACTGGCAGGAAGTATTGTAGCAATTTGCTTTCTGGTAACATTCATTTTTGCTTACTTAAGCAGTGGATTTTGCCAGCTTCCAGCTCCAAATTAGATAACACTGAGAGCTACTGCTGCAGCAAAAAGCAGCCCACTGAAGATAAACACGTGCTCTACTCCAACACATCTAAGTGTACTTCATTATCATCTGAGACTGTATTTGAACAGACATAGATGTATTTTCAAGAACGGTACAGAAATTAATCTAGAGAGTGTACAGGGGCTTAAAACACAAGCCTGAGATTCTATTTTAACACACCTGAGTTCAGATAAAAAAAATAACTTAAGTGTTACTATGATGGAAGTTCCAGAAAAAAATAATCCACCGGTGAGCCTGTGTTGTCAAAAACATTAAAGGGAAAACAGACCTGACAGTATCATCGAGATGTTACAACGCCAGATTCAACTGATACCCAGACTCTGGGCAGGAAACAGCTATTAAGGCATGTGACAAGGGACTTAGAAATTACAGTATCTTGCAGTAAAATGATTTTTCTGCTTTGCTGGGGGTCAATGCACACCCCTGTGTGAGGAGACAGGGATGTTTGTTGAGCCCTGTTAGCACATGTGCCTCACGTTTCCTTGGGCTCCTTATGGTATCAGCTCTTTTAGGTCACACAGGCTCTTTTGATCAGCTGATGGTGACAGCTCTTGCTCAGAGCTGTGTAACCTTGTCTGCTTGAACTTGTCAGGTAACAGACTCTGGCTTTGAACTGTGCTTGGCTATTTTGATAAGCTATTTGATACTCACTGCAGAGAAGCATTGTACTTCTCTTTTTGAAGTGGATCCACAAAACACCACTAAGCCTGGAGTCCTACATCATAGCCCCCATCTCCAAACCACACTAGGAATCCCTCTGTGCTTAGAGGTTTCTTTGCTTAGAGGAGTGGAAAAATATAAAAAAACCCCACAGATAAGCTGCTGTATATGCAGTAGTTTATATTCATACCATGCACTCTCCACCAAGGAAATCAGGGATAATTTCTTTATCGATGTAATCCAACAGTCCCCCAGGACCCTGGTAGTCATTTCCAGCATAAATAAGGAATTTCTTTCTAGTGTTGTCATCAATGAATGGACTAACCTGCAAACAAAGAAAAACAGAATAGATCAGGCTCTCCCATTTTTCTCAAGTCAATTCTGAAGGAGTCAGTTTGATCACAATGAGTGTTACCATCCTGGTTTTACACAAAGTTCACACTACAAAGAAGCCAAATTAACCCACTACGTGAGCAAGTTCTGAGGTGGTGTTTTTTAATCCACTGCAGGAATCCTGAAAAAGACATGTTTCCAAATGGCAACATTTCCTGCTCATAAAACCTGATCTGTAAAGTGCTTTTACAAACAACAAGTGTAGCAGTGTACTGAGACAGCTGAGTAATACCTTGAATTACAAACATACCAGTGTCCAGAGAACTGGGAATACTCGAGGTGCTCTTAGGATAAGAAGACGACCCAAAGTCTCAGGATAATTGGCTTCAACCACCTCAATGATTCTCAGCAAGGCCTTGACACCAGGTCTCCATAAATGCCTCATGTTCAAGCCTTCCAGATCTACTAGACATGTCCAGGAGCTGAATTTGAGAAAGACAAGGAAAAAAAAAATAGAAAAATCTCAATAGCATCAAAATTCTCCTTTCTTATGCAAGTGCCCAACACACTGAGATGTGTGGAGCCCACTGCATGTTTTGGTTTCTCCTGTTTCACCTCCTTGCTTTGTGGTACCTGTAGACACTCCAGTTTAAGGTCTGCCTTAAGAGCATGCAATGATCACTTTGCAAATCATGCAGATTCCCCCACAGATATTTCAGACTCAAGGTAAAGGTTCATATCAAGCAAAAAAAAAAATCCTGTCAACAGCCAGCCCAAACATTGAACCAGTGCTTTTACTGGGAGATCAATTAAGTGGCCACACTGCTGCCACGAGGCAATTTGACATTCACAGGGCAGATTTCCTGCTAACAACGCTGCAGTAACGGTGCCAATACATGTCAAAGCTAATTCTGTTGTCAGATCTCAGGGAGGGAAGCTTCTTCTACAGGGAGAGATATGTTCTTAATACTAATACTGAGCATCAGCACATGTTTCAGTTACTTTCCAAGTTCAGGTCTCGCCCTGGGCAAGAATTCAAGATTTACAGCTGTGCTGCACCAGCCAGCAGCCATTACATTATGCATAAGGTTTCTATGAAACACCAAACCCTTCTTTGCTTCACTTTAAATGTTTAATATGCAGCCCTTTAGGATTATGGCTACAAATGAACATCCAGCAGGCAGCACAATTTCAGTTACACACATGAAACCTATTCCTGGGACGTGACCTCCCACTGACAGCCAGGACAGCAAGTTCTGTACCAGGGAAAAGATAAGCAGACATACCACACATCCCTGGACCTTACAGATTAAGGGAAGGAGGTAGAAATTGAAGAGAGGCCAAGAAACGTGAGATCTTTTCAGGGATGGTCCTGCATTCGTTCCACACCCATAAATCCACTCTGCAGTTAACAATTTCATAAGTGACCCTACAATGACTGAAGGATGGGACAGCAAACCGTTTGTGACTGAATTTCACCTGAAGTCGTGCCAGTACCTGGAAAACTAGACCCCAGGCTTCACAGGAGCCTCATGACCTCACCTTGGATCGAGAGCTGAGAAGCCACTTATAAAAAATGGAGAGTGCAAACAAGAACTGAGTGTAACGAGCCTTGGTACAGACCATGGATGAAGAAGTGACGTGAAAGCAACACGTGAAATCCATGGTATTATCATGGCCTGACTTTTTGACAGCCTGTACCAATGCCTGTCTATAAAATCCCCCCGAAAGAGAAATGGGAGTTAGGTTGCACTGCTTTGCAGAGATCCAACAGCAGAGGACAGAAGCACAGCAGCCCCAAGTAGAACCATCAGGAGTATGAGACTGAGGTTCCTGGGGCAGGTGTGCTTCCCTCAGGCTGCCCCAGGCACATTCCCTCTGTCACTGACTGGGGAGGCTTCAGTTAACTGTACCTGTGCTTGTACCTGCACGTGAGACACAGCCCACCCTTCGCTTGTTCCACTGCCCAACAATCCCCACAGGCACACCATGAAAGCAGGTAATTCCCAAAGAGCAGATCCACTTGTTATTTTACCTTATTGGCCTGCCAAATACTTTTGTATTCTCCTCACATCGCCTCAGTCCTTCTTCATTTATTGAAAGAACCTGTACAAGAAAGTGTGTGGTTTAGAGAAGAGTCTCAAACTCAGTAGGCAGGATAAAGAAAAATATGTTTATATCCAAAGACTAATTAAAACTACAAGATCAAACCAGCATAAACTTTTTTTTTACCACAAAGAACAAACTAGGAATCTCTACAATTACCCCTAGTTACTCAGAAATTAAAGCCCCTTTTGAAATCACAGAAAGTAAACCCTGAAACAGAACTAGGGCAAACAAAATTTACTGTCTGCCTGGAAATGCCACTGGAAGAGAAACATGAAAATCCAGTCCCTGCTTCTAACAGTTGCTATGGCTGTGACTGTCATTATTAGAAGTCAAAAAAAGTTAGTGCAAGCCTGGAATTCTGCCAGCTTTCTGCCTGGAAACTGAGCCGACCCACAATAGCAGAGTCTGAGCGATGCCTTTAGAAAAGGCAGAACTACAAGCAAGCACTTTTTCTTAAAATTATTCTTCTCCTTGGAGTACAGGCTTGACAAAATTTGGGGTGTTTTCTCTTCTGTGCAAATGCAGAGCTGTGCTTGAAGCCCTGCACGAGTGTGGAAGAATCCGTGAAAATGCCAACCAGTAACTCCAGGAGCTGCCAAGACTACGCCTTTCAGTTTGCAGTTGGAAAGAAGGCAGAAGGAACAGCTACCAGGAGCTTTCAGATGTATTCAAACCAAAAACAGACGGCCAGAGAGTACATCAAAACACCCAGAGCGATGAATGCTCCGGCAGAGGAAATTTCTAAATGAAAATATCACCCTGTTAGCAACTCGCAGGCTCCAGAAATACTCACGTATCGAAGCAGGGCCTCTTCCCCCAGAGCTCGCACTAAACCTTTGGTGTCCATCTGTCCCAACCTCAGCACGTACAGCGGGCGACCGTCTGCACAGAGAGACAAACCACCACAGTGACCCTCACCTTACAGCAAGAGACAGTTTGAGCGAGCTGGTTTTACGCTAAAACTTCAGACAGAAACAAACCACAATCAGTTAAAACTCCCCTGGAAGAGGAATAACCTGGAGCAGGCGGCAACAGAAACTGGACCCTGTGCAGCTTCACCAACAGGTTATCTGTAAATGAGCTGCAAAACTCGGATTGGGAGGTTAAAGGTTTTCTGATGCAAAAGTTTGCAAAGACATCCTGATGCAATAATAGCTCCTCGACCTTCAAGGACTTCAAGTACCTCGGTCTACACAAGATCTTGGTACACACAATTAACGACGCAGGACTATTATTAGCTTCCAGGACACCCTAATGAACTCGAGTGTTTCCTGTAACTGCAGAGCTGCAGTGGAGGCTGTAAGGCCTCTATCACACATGCTGCAATACTGCTCTGGATAGAACAGCAACCCCTCTAGAAAAGTAGCTACGCTGAGTTCTGGGAATTAATGAAACGAAGTGTTAACCCAGAGCTTTGCCTTCTGCAGTGTTTGCTGGAGCCACACTCCGAGCTCTGTCACTCTGCGGAACTGGCACACAGCCTGGTTTATGCAGGTTAAACCTGGTGAGAACAGACTCTGCTCCTGAGATCAGCTCAGCTGGACCCTCTGCATTAGAGCCCTGCCTTTCCACAGTCATCTGGCTGCACACTTGGGCAGCCTGGCACTGGCAGGATGCTAAGGCATTAAGCTAAATAACTGTGTTGGTTGAATTTGAGAATCAAAGCTTGCATTTCTGGCACTTCCTAATAGGAGCCAGTTGTCCAAAACAGGTCCCAGCCTCCTCTCAAACCTGTGGTGCACTTTTTAAGCTTTGCTTCATCTATTCTAACACACAGGTTAAATAATCAGCAACTTATAAAAGTGAATATGCTAGAACACAGAAAGAAGAAAAAAAGAAGGCTTTCTACATGAAAGTCTCCCTCAAGTCCTGTTGTCTGTGCAACAGCCTGCAAGAGGGGTATCAAATTATCATCAAGTCTTCTGGGACACAAGGAAAGAAACTGTAGAGACACACTATTAAAAGAAACCCCAACAACCAACCAAAACTGCAGAGTCAAGGCAAGTTATTAATTTGGCAAAGACAGCACCCCCACGCAAGTTCACAGTATTTTGTGTTTTATCAGGTGGATTAAAAGAAAATGTTATTTTAAAATCAGTACACACTTATCTTGGAATGAACTGTTTCACTTTGGAAACACTAAACAAAAACTGCTATTAAGCTTCATAGCAGGTCTCCCTCCCTCCCTCCCTCCCTCATGGATAGACATGCACATCCAAACCCAAACTAACAGCTTAGTAACCCTGGTCCACCCAAATGACACATGAAGGAGAGTCTCAGCTGACAGTGCTGTATTATTACTGTGCATTTTATACTCCATTAGAGCTCTGTGATTTTAAAAAGACATTAGATTGAAGCATTCCTGTCAAAATAAAAGCCACTCAGATGTACAGAAAACTGTGCTAATTGCAAGCCAAAATAATAACGTTTTTTCTTCAGCTCTGATAGCTCATTCCAGACAACATGCTTCACAATCACTCTGCTTTTGCTTTAGCACTGAAAGCCAAAAGCACTCAGCCAGCTTAAGTTTGGAACATTTAGTATATGTAGGAGAAAAGGAGCAATACTAGAAAAGGGGGGTTAAAAAAAGAACCTACCACTGTAAAATTTTAAATTACAGAGAACTGCTCAGTTCTGAAACTGTGTTTCCATTATTGACAAAGCCATGCTCTTCTTGTGGGCATGCTGCAGGAGAGATCAAAGGCACTGGAGGGGAAGGGAGGGGGCATGAAGTTCACCACAAGACTGAAGAACTTCTCAGAAGAACATTAAACAACCTTTTGATGCATTCTGTACCTTCCTGCTCACTGGCAGGACCCAGTTTATGTGCTATTGACAGAGGGAGTCTTTGCAAAGCAAGGACAAGGAACTGGGTGAAAGGGAGGACTTATTCACAGGGGTCTTTTCCCCTACAATCTTTACAAGCACATTCTCATTTTCCACTTTCTCAGCCTGAGGTCTGTCAAACCCAAAGCAGCAGGGAAGAGCCAGGCTCTGGTTAAACTTCTGCTGCGTCCTCCCTGTCTCCTGGCCACTACAGCTGGCAGCATCCTGTCCTGTGTCATACACTGCCTGTAACAGGAAGAGCCAAGCAGAAACAATGGTGCCTAGTGGGAAAAGACTCAATCAGAACACAGATCTGCTCACAGCGAGAGATCATTTCCTTATCTGAAGAGCCCAGCTTGCCTCAAGCCACAAATTCCAGCATGTTTCATTCCTATGTATGTATTAGCAACCAGATCAGTGCACACGATAAAGCAGAGGGACAGGGAGGCTGTGCTGCAAAGATCTGGCCGTGGCTCACCATGCAAAGGGAATTCAGCCAAAGCTCCTTCTCTTCTTAAATAAACCTGCTCTATTTGATGTTTTTGCAACATTCCACTTCTCATCATTAAGCTGACTGTAATGCCAAATAAATAATCATTTATGCCATCAGCAGACTTAAACAACATCAGAAATAAATTGATTACAAAGATGTACTTATTTGCAAACATCTTTTAATCACTGAAAGAGCACACTCAGCATTTGCCTAACACCCTTTTAAGCATCTCAGAGTGCTACAGAAGCACAATTAATCGCTTTTTTTAAGCTCCTGGCAAAGCAGACTTAAACATGTGGGTATTAGTCAGAAAGCCTATGATCTTGGAGTCTGCCTCCAGCAGCTCCTGGGAGCTGGCAACGTCACTGCAACAGGTTGCCCAGAGAAGCTGTGGATGTCCCATCCCTGGAAGTGTTCAAGGCCAGGGATGCTGGACAGGGCTCTGAGCAATCTCTGGTCTAGTGGAAGTTGCCCCTGCACATGGCAGAGGGGTGGAACAAGATTATTTTAAGGTTCCTTCCAACCTAAACCCTTCTGTGATTCTATGAATTTAAGTGTCTTTATTACATAACAACTGAGAAGTTCTAACCATCTTCCCAGTCCCCTCTAGTTAACCAGAGGGACAACTATCACCTTTGATTCAGAACACAGAAAGGCTGTGCAGTATCCATACCTTTGTCATGGTGATGCCAGCCTCCTGCATAGTAATCCTGGAGTACTTGTGGAGGGTTCCAGGTGTCCAGAATATAGTCCACCTGGTGCTGCTTACGCCACGTCAGAGACTGGCAAAGGATCTCTCTTGCTTTATCGATGTTGAAGTCCCGGGCACGCAGGAATCTCAAAATGTGCTCATCCTTTGGGATCTGTCCACAAAACCAAACCCAGTTTTGTACTCAAGGTTTGAAACAAGAACAGAAAAACAAACAATAGAAGCTGAAAAACGTGCAGCCCTGCATCAGAGCAGGAGGAGGGTGTGTAACACTGGAAGCTACTCAAGGAAATCAGCCTTTGTTTGAAACAGTCATGAGCCCTGTCAGGGACTGCAGGTACCTTCATAAAGGAGATAAAAATTTCATGAACTCTAATGTAATCATTTCCACCTGTGTGACCATACCAAGCCAGTCCAATTTAAATAAATCAGGACAGAACACAGACTGTATTTCATTGTCAAGTAAGAGGAAGCTGAGACACACATGCAAATCACAAGCTACTGGAAAAAACCCAGCCTTGCTATCAGTGATTTAACTGGCCCCACTGCTTCCCTTTCAGTATTTGAGACTGTGATGTTTGGCCAAAGCAAACAAATACAAAAATAAGGTTATTGTAGAAACCAGGAAGACTTAAAAAAACTGCTGATATTGCCCTGTGACAGTTTAACTGACATTCTGAGAGGCTTTCACGCTGATTATTTAAGCCCCTCAGCCAGCAAAGTCAGCTGGACAGTCACAACAAACTCCTTCTGCAGTCACTGTTTTAATTTAGTTTTTGATCATGGCAGGCCACTTAACAGGCACAGTCAGGCACTGGGGGGGTTGGGGGGGTGGCAGGTTGTTTCATCAGGCCCACTTTGTACATCACACGCTCTGAGCCACGAGAGATCACCAGTCACTTACTTTGCCTTTGTGCGTCTCCTGCAGCCACTGCCTCAGCCGGATGAGGCAGCTCTCCTGCATCGGGGTCAGGTCCCCCAGGTACCTCTTGATGTAGTCTGCGTCTAGTTTGTCTAAAAAGAGATGTGCAAGGGGATTAGAGTGGCCCTGGGCTGACCCAGGCAAAGCACCAAGTGATCTGCTGTGCTGCTCTCTCAGGCACAGAAGCGGCTGCTGCGTTCTGCGCAGTCAGAATTGAATAAAGGTTCTTCGAATCAATGCAAGGATGAGCAAGGCAACACACACAGTCATCTAATCAAGAAGATAAATTCTCCTTCTGCAAGCTAAGGAAGGGAGCAAAAGGAGACATTTTCAAAAGCATTTTGCCAGTCTATTCAGACTCATCAATCCAGAGCACCACAGGGATTGCTGCTTATAGAAATAACTCAGTGAAGCTTTGATCTCTCAGTGCAAGAATTTTCCCAAATTCCCTTATTAACAGGGGGAAGGCAGACACAGCAGAAGACCGTGTCCAGGGAAGCTTCAGCTGTTTCCTACCCATTATTCCTACACTTATACCCATCCCTGAATTTCAGGGCAAGGAGCAGGCTGTTCATTTGCAACCTAATGAGCAGTGAAGAGTTTTTCTGCTCGTACCTGATCTCCATTTACTAGATCAGCCCGTAACAGCTCCCTGAGCTATCCCACATGTCACTGCTTGGCAAGCCTGCACTTTAACATTGCATGTCACCAAACAAAGAGCCAACATGGAGCTTTTCCAGCTGCCCACGAGAAGTTGCACAGTGCTGAGAGGCTCTACAGTACCAAGAACCCCAGTGAAACACCTCAGACCACCATACCATCTGGTGTTCCTGCAGTGGGCTCCGAGGGGCTGCTGGAGGTGTTGAGGATCTCCTTGTTGTTCAAGCCCTCCTTTGTGGCAGACTCTGGTATATTAATAGCAGGTGAAACTGGTCTCCTTGTGTGGGATGTGCTGCTCTCTGATTTACATGTGACAGGAGGAGTCCAGCGAGGAACAAAAGTTATTCCTTCTTCCTCCAGCTGCTTCAGGTAGTATTCTATTATTTCTTTTCCCTTCAAAAAAGAAAATTTACTTCAGCTACTAAAAAACCACTCACCTAAGACACAGAAACACCTATAAAGTGGCCAGATCTCTGTAAAGATTCCACTTGAAACACAGCCCTACACAGACACACTGCCCCAGGCTAAAGAGGAAGCAGCCCAGCTTTCTGAACAGAGTAGCCTGTTACTTAGCAGCAGCCTCATTGTCTTTTGGTAACTTGGAGCCAGGCACCTCCTTCCCAACTGCAGGCTCACCTTTTTAATATTGCTGGTGTATTGCTTCATGGCAATCTTTTCCACTGTGCTTTCAAAACCAAAAAAAGATTTGATATCCAGACTTGCTGACTGTTCAAAACAGGTCCAGTCTTCATTGTCAGGATGAACCTGCAAGTTAAAAGATCATACAGCTCAGTTACCCATTTAGGGTTTTTTTCTCTTCACACTATTTGAAATGCTTCTTGTTTTACAGGTTCACACAGTCAAAAAAACATTCAAGAGGAATCTGCAGTGTCTTCCTTCCCTTGCAAAACACGACTGGGAAGAGGCAACACTGAAGGACAAAAATCTGAGGAGCCCTCCTAGGGTGCCATGGCTCTTTTTTTTTTTTTTTAAATGAACACAAAAGAGGAGGGTGGAGAAACACTAGTGCACCAGCCAAGAGCCAGAGGACTGGCACATTTTACACACTGTCTCATTCTAGATAAGGGCTGGGACTGCAGTGTTATCTGTGCAAGAGGGTAAAAGCCTCCACAGTGAACTTCCTGCTGTGACTGACAGCCCAGGGCCAGCTCAGCCAGGCTGAGCCCTGCAGCAAGTGCAGTGGGAGCACCTCCAGGCACTGCTGTCCCCAACAGACACCCTGCAATGCACTGCTGCTCGTTGACCTACGAGGTACCTCAGTATTTCGTAGAATGAAAACTATTTTAGTTTTTTTTCTCCCGTGATGAGGCCACAGAAAGAAGTGTACACTTCTCATGTAGCTGAATACTCTGTCCTAGAGCACTCCCACCTCTCCTCTCAGCTCATCTCTTGGTTTGCTGAGATCATCCTGAAATGGATATGTTGGTACTTAGAGCTGGACTTGATCTTAAAGGTTTTTTCCAGCCTAAATTCTATGATTGATGATGATATTTTTAAGAAAAGCTGTTTTCTAAACTCTCTTCAGCTAAAACAGACTTGTTTAAGCCATTTCAGGGCTGGGCTCTGAACTCGTCCTTACACAAATGCTGGATTTCTGAGCATGCAACTGTCCTGATGCCTTAGGGTTCCCTTCCCCCTCAAAACATGCTAAAATTGACTTGGAACACTATCAACACTTTATAAGGAGACAACTACAGAAAAAAAATACCTTCCCTTCTTTTGCTTCTTCTGCTTTAGGGAACAGGAGGTACAAGAATAGCTTGTACAGACTAACTAAGTACAAATAATAATAACATCATGTAAGAATCTTCCTGTATTTTCGTAAATTCAATTATCAATTACCTTTAATAAGAATGAACTTTTAGAAACAATTTATTCTTCCATTAAAAATCTGGTTTTGTATTTACCTAAGTAATTCTCTAATTGAGTAGATCCAGGGCAAGAAATGTTGTGTTTTGTACATATTTACCACATGCACTTTTCTGTACAGCATCTCCCCTGTTTAAACAGAGCTTTCACAGCAAAACTGCAGGGGAAAAGTGTTTTTAAACTTGCCTTGGAAATAATGGCAGAAATAAAAATAAAAAAAAAAAATCAGATAATAGCGTCAAGTGGGTTTGACATCCAGTTATCTTTTGACCACAGGTCTGTACACAACAGAAAGTGTTATGACCTGTACATAAAAGGAATGCTATAATAGAGATAAATTAGTTACATTTGTTAGCTTTGATCTGACCTTTAACAGCAATTTGAAGTTCTATTGCTATAGCATGTGCTTTAAGTGCCTACGGGCATAGGCTAAGCCATTCAGAAATAAACCATGACCGGAGCAGAGCAGTAGGCATGCCACCAGACTCCTCTGGATCAGAAAACATCTGCACTAAAGACCAAGAACAACGAAAAAAAATAGGTTAAAACATAACTGACTCGATGAACTTCTGCCTGAGCTGAGCAGAAGGCAAAACAAGCTCTGCTGAACTTTGCTTTGACAGTTCTGTCAGGGTGTCATCAGCCTCACCAAGTCCCACACTGCTGTTACAGACCACAGATTTGCCTAAACAGAGCTGTCCAACACAGCAAATTGTGTTGTGTTCTGCTCTCTGAGAAGATGCTCAAGCAAGAGGGTGCCAAACGTGTCTCAGTTCTTCGAGCAAGTGTGTCGCATTTAACTCTGACAACAATTATCGCTCATGGCAGTGTGCTGGTTATTTTTTCTTGCAAGGCAAAAGCCAAGAACAACCCAACTTCTGTTTGTGTGAGTCCTGAAATCTAACCTAGCTCCATCTGTGGCACCACCAAGAGCCTGTTACTCACTGTGTAAGAGCAGTGCTCGTTAATGATGACTCTATTAGAGAAGGTTTCATTGTAGGCTTCTATATGCAAAGTCCTCTCTCGTCTGTTCAAAGAGTTCTTCTGGACAAAGTAGACATAATCCACTCCTGCAATCTGAGGAAGAGAAGGTAAATTGTGTTAAGATACAACATGCATGTGAAAGGATTCATCCAGAAGTATGAAATGGGTACTGAAAAGCTCATCACCTTTTTCAGGAGCCGCGGTGCGTCGATGTCCAGCTTACAGCGCCGCTCAATCACATGGATGGCTTCATCCTCACTCTTGTATTCACTTACAGTGTCACTGGCTACAAACATAGGGATCAGAGGACACGTAGGAAACCTTCTTTCATATGCCTACACAGATGGAAAGAGAAGAAAGCAAATGACCATCACAATTAATCCCCGAGGGTGCGCACAGAATTCCTTCACTGATGTCACCAGAATCCCTTCGCTGATGTCACCAGCATTTGGAGGCTCAATGTCCTTCAGAGCATCCGTGGAAGGGGCTGAGCTTCACTGAGTCCACATTCCAGCTGAGAGCCACAGTGTATTCCAAGCAATGCATTTATTAATACACTCCTTTCCAGTAAAACGATTTTTAAAACACACAAAATACCTCATTTCTCCCCTCCCTCTGAAAAAGGCAGTTGTTCATTTTGTGCAGCGACAACCCTCTTGTCAGCAGTAACAGGAAAATAAGACCCTCTAGTTCTAAAATACCACAGGACAAAACAATTATGTGTAGGATTAAAAAAACCCCCCACGTGCTAATTACCGGTGTTTCACCAAGCTGTCCAGAGGGATTTTCTTACAGCTCCCAAAGGTCTCATAAAAACATTTCAAAAGCTATTTCTTAAGCTAACAGAGCTCTCAAGCTCCCTGTGCAGAGTGTTCATAATGATTTCACTGCAGTTTATCAGCTCACAGCTTTGTCCAACAACAGTCAGTCAGTCTTTGCAATACAATGAGGTCCTTTCAGACTCCTGAAAATGTAAAGTTTTTGCAATAATGCAGAGTTAGCAACAGCTTTGATTCTGGTGAAAGAATGAAGTCATTTGAATAAGTTATCTCCTAAATACTTGACACACAGAGAGAAGATGGCATTAAATCAGACACACTCAGACAGGATAGTAAAGAATCTGGGATCAGTAAAACAGGTAAGAGGAAAATGGGTGATATCCCCATTAATAAACTCGTTGAATTTTAGTTTTAGAACCACTGTGGCTATAGAAAACAACACAACTGTTATTTTTTTTCCTTTTCTTTCATAGTCACTACAATAGCTCTGCTTCTCTTTGCTTTTTTTTTTTCTTAAGTAACTAATTCTTTAGCCTGCTTTCCACATCCCCAATTACTTCAGTTTTGCTGTTATCAGAACCTCACTGGCTTTGGTGAAAAGGATTTTACAAGGTGTCCCAATGCAGAAGAAAGATGAAATAAAGTAAACCTCAGAGAACATCACAAAACAACTCTTTAAAAGAGCTAAAATATCCACCCTGTCTTTATAGATGATTTTAACTGCTCTGAATACAGCTGGGCTGCAGCACCAACAGGGAGAGGGTGTGGAACAAAATAAGCAGCAGCTGCACAAAGTATGCAATGGTGGGCCTGGAGGAGAAAAGGTCTCTTAATTCTCCCTTTAGAACAATTAAAATACTTCAGTTTATTACCAGTGCTCAAACCCAGTTTGAAGGCAGTGTTACTATGGTGACAGCGGGGCAAGGCACTAAAACAGTGCTGGCTTTTTTCCCTCGTGCATATTTTTAATCCATTTTTGCAGCATGACCGTCCCGAGTTCATAAAGCTCCTCTGTAAGGCCCCAGAAGCACAACCAGGGCAGGGGGACACACGGTCCCTTCTTCAAGAGTTCATCTGTGCACAGCTGGTTTTGTTTAAATGAAGAACAGCAATAATTTCTGGGCTCTGGGGTGTCTGCACAATAGAAGTGACAGAGCATTAGTGTTGGAACACAGGAGCCAGCAGTGGGGGAAAAGTCTTTCACAGCTCCAGCACAAAGGGAGGATGGCTCCTATTAACATGGTATAAGAAGTTTCTTCCTTCTTTGGTCCTATTAGTATGGCAAAGAAATTTCTTATTTCTTTTATAAGGCTCTTGTTCTGGACAGAAGGCTGGACATTTTAGTACCTCAGCCCTCTCACTGAACAAGTCTCAGCATTCTTCCTAAATTAACCCCTATTTTCACTGCAACGACTGCAGTTAAATGTTGTCCTAAGTCAGAAAAAGAAAAGATTTCCAGAAGAAACAAAACTGAGGAGTATTTCTCGTTTTCAGACTGCTTCATTTAATACTTTTATTTTGTTTTATTGGAGGACCTCGTGTTATAACCATTTTTTATAGACAGGAGAGCAGGGGCAGTACATATCTAACATTTTTCTCACTATTTTCAAAGTATTTTTTACATTTGGATGACAATTTTCCCCATCTGAACAGCCTCCTCTATGCCAAGCCTTTTTGCAAGTCTCCTTCATTGCACATATTGATGTTTTTCCCACCTTAGTTCTCAAAACACTTCCCATTTGCCCTGTGAACGCTTGCAAATCAGAACATTACCTGCTCCTGAGCGTTTACTGAACTGTGAACAAAGAAATGCCCAAGAAGAATTTGTTGTTCTGAATGGGAAGACTGAACTGAATGTGTTCAATTTGGAAGAGAACAAAATAATTATCTGCCAAAAGCTGGCAAGCTGAAGGCTTACAGCAAACTACTTGAAGGTTCCAAAGAGATTAACAGCGACACAGGATTCTTCCTCCCTAAAGAACATGCACACAGAGTATTGAAAGCTGTTCACAGTCAATTTTATTGAGCTCTTAAATTAGTCCTGTGGGTTTTTTTTAATGTACAATTGCCAATATGTTCTTGTAATGCATCGTTTCTCAGAATAATTCACGGTTTGAATAAAAAGTGATTAGAGTGAACCACGGCCACATCAAAACATTCCATCTGATTCAAGCATACTTGTGTCTTCCACATGTGTCAGACAGTGCTGAGAGGGCAGGGAAACGCTGCTAAAGACTACAGGACACTGATAGATCCTCCTTCACCATGGACCAGCACAGCCCAGGAAAAAACCCTGTAATTTGGGGTACAACACAGCAAGAGACACGTGAGTCAGGGCAGCACATGCATGGCCAAGACTGCAGCTATTAAAAGAGCACGAGAAGATTAAAGGAAGATCAAATACTGCTTTTATTTTCTAACAGAACTGAAGGGATTTTCCTGCGCTGCTGAAGTGTTTTGAACCAGAAGTTTTGCCTCAAATGCAGCTTTGCAGACAGGAAATAACTGAACTGAGTTATCCACTGTTCCTCCAGCAGCCTGATAAAGCACAGTATCTTATAAAATGCTGCACATTCCCTGTATGATACAGTTGTGGTTAAACCGGGTCCCTCTTTACAAATAAAATCATTAGATAGTCCACACCTTTGTCTCAGGATCCCAATTTCGCTCTATAAATACAATCACAAAACACAATTAGTTCCTCAAAAGCAAAGAAGCTGCAGCAGACCCTGAAGGACTCCATGCAAGAATGAAAAGCTGTTGCTGTAGGACTCAACGCACCTAAGAATGGTGTTGCAAGGACCATTTTCTCCTGTCACATGTAACACACATGGTGTGTGCAGATTCTGCTGTGCAGCACAAGTAAAAAGCCCAGATGTGCTCACCCTCAAAACCTCTACAGCTGCTGCTGGGCTTGACATGAGAAGCTGCAACACCTCTTTGGCTGAGAGAGAGACACCTGGGTGCAGATCTGTTAAAAGATGATTTTAAGCCTGCAATTCTGCAGTTCCCCAATAACGTACTTTTTACAGCGTCCCACCAGCCTCTGGAACATTTGCATACTCTGATATATTCGAAGCTGCATCAAGAAAAACACAGTCTGGTGAAGCAGCTTGAACTGCAAATTTAACTTTCTTAATGCACGTTAACAGCAAGAGCACTGACAGGCATAATTTCAACCAAAACAGCACTGTAATAAAGCTTCTTTCCAACTGCCTCCCTTAGCAACTCATGCTCGGAGGAGAGTCGAAATAACAGGATTTATTCCACTTTTATCCTTGCTAGTATTTCAGCTGTGTTTAAAGACATGAAAGCATTTCAGAAGTCAGACTATTTTAAACCCATTGCAGTTGTTTTTCATAGCCAAGGGAACTGTACTTGCTGCTGCTGCCCTTAGATTCTGGAATTCTACTATCAGGAATAACGAGTTCCTTTCAACATACCACCTTTAAAACAGCATCTAGGTATGACCCCAAACCACTCTTCCTGAGGACCAAAGAATTCTGGCTTTTTGCTTCTCAAATCATGCCCAGGGCTAATAAAATACCTTGATAATAGGCATGTGTTCAGCCCTTCAGTGGGAAAAGTCAGTCATTTATGCAAATAAATTACTCAGCTGCTCTGGCCAGATTAATATATTCCCAGTCTCCTGCCCTCAGGGATAGGGACTGTTCAGTATTTCCATTAGATGACTCAAAACTACCTTCTGTACTGAAAAGAAGGAAAAAAAAAATCTTGCAAGCAATCTGATGCTCTGCTGTTCTAGTAGCTGAATCCTCCAAAGAGAAATTGTAACTGAAAATAAGCAGTGAATAAGCAGGAATTTCAGTCACCATTTGAAAAATGAAGCATATTGAGTGCTTTATACACCTTAATTGCATGAATCAAGCTCTTAAGGTGCTTTATTTCTTTTTTTGATGTTTTCTGATCAAACTGGCTGGAACAGTGACCTTCCAAGAGCAGCACAACATTCTCCAAGGGCACCTCAAGAGAACCCACGAGCAGATTCATCCTGGCAATCCAGTCTAGTCTGCAGCACTCGATGTGTGCCACATCCCAACTTTAATTCCTGCCTGCAGCACCTGCCTACGTGTGGGCACTAATCCTATACACTTCCAGTACGTGGGACTCCTGAATTATTCATAAACACACAAGAAACAAGAAGGGTCGCTCCAGCAGGATGCTGCCCTGGCCCGACAGGCTGCATTCCAGCAGCTTGATCATTCCTGCACTCCTGCACTACATCCCTTCCTCCCCCTGCATTAGAGCACTGCAGATCAATAGGAAAAGCACTGGCTCATGGGAGGGCAACCAAGAGGTTTCAAATTCTTGGCAGCTGCATTTGGAAAGGAACAATTCTGGATTAACTCTCACAGACCAGCAGACACCTCCTCATGCCCCAAACAGTGCTGTTCAGAGCTCCCTACCTCTCTCCTTATAATCCATTCATCCATTTAAAAATCATTATGCTTGCACAAAGCAGTGTGATCTCTCTGCCAGTGTCTGAGGGACGTGAGCTCACACGGCAGTGATCAGCTCGGGGGGGTGTGTGGAAG